TCTTTAAAGGAGGTACATGCAAAAAACTTTGGCTAAACAAAACAAAAAAAAGGAGATATTTACAAGTTCATATGGATGGTCCTGCCTCTCCATATGTAATGTCTGAAAAGACTTATTCAACCTTTAACATATTGTTCGACTCTGTGTGAGCACACAACAACACAACTTCACCGTGAGTACCTCTTTTGTACTAGTGTAGTTAGTATTTGTTAGTGGTTAGCTCTAGTCTGAACTGATGGTCAAGAAAGTTAAAGGTTTTAGTTTAAAGATGTTAGCTTAAACTAATCTAAATAGTTGAGTTTATCAACTTTGATGTTAGATTCCTGAAGAATCTTTAATGCTGAGATTTTTCTTTCTCAGGTGAGTCTTAAGTAATTTCTTTACTTGTTCGTTTGGACTCATTAAAATATTTCATCTGTAGCTCTGTGGCTTTTAACGCTCCTAAAAACTCACAATAAGGCGGTTTCTTTTTCCTTTGCCCTTATCATGAGAGAGTTTAGCTTATTAGCGAGGCGATCTGTTCCAGACATCAGCGGTCTGGTTGTAAATTCCAGCAACAGTCTATATCGGTGCTGAAAGAAAAAAAAAATCAATCACTTCCCCCCTTTCCTTTTCGAAGGGAAACCTTTAGCACAACGGATCCTCGGATAAGCTTGTTCAGGCTTTTCCTACCTGGAGTGAGCACGTAGCTTCTAAGAACAGAATTGACCACTTCTTTATGGTTAGCAAAGCTTCCATGAGCTTTATTATCATTTCATCATGATAATTAGCAACAAAGGGGTTTCCTCAGCTTCCCTTTTTATGAACTCCTTTTCGTTTTTCTGATAAACGTCTGAGTTCATACTAAATTTACCTTCCCTGTCCTTATTCTGCTTTCATAAGAACAGTCGTTAGAATATTTAATTAGCTACGTTAATTATCCTAACAGTGGTAACTTTCAGAGCATTGTGTCAGCACATGGCTGCCTTAATTTGCCTCTGAGAGGAGCATCGTATCGCAGTCTTTTTTTCAGCTCGATACGACCTCAAAATGTCGACTTTAATCTTGTTAGCATGCATTAAAAATCAAAACAGTTCTCTGTTTTATTTTTCCTGTAAAACTTTGGCCTTTTCTTAGTAAAACTAGCAACACACACATTCATTCACACTTTGAGTCACCAGCGCATCCACTGGAGCTCTGGARAGTGGATACATTAACTAGCTGCTAGGTTTGAGATTTGCATWTCACTTTAATCAATCAAACGTCCACCATTTGATTGATATCTTTGATACCTTTGGTTTCAAACTCTRAAGGTAGACAACTGTACACATGTTTCTGCTTCTCGTTGTTTAAAGCATTGTTCAACATTTTAAAGTTCACAGTTAATTCTTTTTCAGTATAACTCTCAGTTAAAATTAGAAATCAAATAGATTGTTTTAATCTATGTTATTCTAATTTGGAGTAGATAACTGTTTAGAAAGACAGAAGCTGTCAACAATGTGAAACACATTCCTTTGCAAAAGAATGGGACAGAACACTAGTTTTAAACTAACCAAGATTAACTTTTGAAAATTAACTTGGATAACTTTAAACTAATTAAAGTTGAACAATTCTAGACAATAAGTAATTATTTACAGATGGTAGCCTACCTGATGCGGGTGGGATGTGCTGATCACAGCTGTTCCTATAAAGTTCTCTCTTTTTGCTGGAAAATATTCTGTAAACAATAAATGACAGACGTAAACAGCTGATATTTCGTGAATAAATTTTTTATCCATCACACATCTTTCCATTCAACGTTTTTTTTAGCCTTGCCCTACAATGGTGACGTTAGGAAATAGATGAGAAAGATTTCTTCAACAATTAGGATCTAAAAAGATTTCTTCAAAAGTACCTGATTAAAAGATCAAACTCATCAGCTGGTACAGTAATAAATGAGTCACATTAACMGTAACTACCTGTTTTCCTCACAGACATGATTAATGGAGTTTATACATTATGAAACATGTGGAGTGATGGGCAGGTGCCAGAGTGGTATTATCGTGAAACAAGAAGTGGAGGGAGGGGGAGAGGAAGCTCTTAGTGACCGAAGAGGATTACTGGATTATAAACACAGCTGTGTGCACTCTAAGGGTTGAAGAGCTTCACTCCATCTTTAGTTGTTTCTCATTTCGATATGTTGGCCACTGAGCAGAGACATGGGACATGTAGGATCCTATACTGACTTCTTCATCAGGAACAGATGTGAGTCTGAAACATATCAAACAGCACTTTTTTATACTTTTTCTGCACTTCTAAAAATATWTTTGCTGCATAAATATCTGTGTGCTGATTTTTATCCCATTACAGAACAACCGAACAAACGAATGGATCAGTTATTTGAGTAGAACCACCCGTCTGTTGTCAGGCTCACTAAATTAAATGTTTTCTTCTTCTTGGCACTTCATGATTGGGATTATGAGATTTCACTTGGATTAACCTGATTTTAAAATCCTTTTTTATTCAAAAACGATTACATGTAAGGAACAGACTGTTCAAATACTGGGAGTGATGAGAATAACAGAATTAACAAATACYGTAAAGTCACCCAGCAAAATACTACAAATCTGTAAAATACTACACACAGTTGGTTTTATTCTCCAGACTTTCTGAACGAGGCGGCACGGTGAAGCAGTGGTTAGACCTGTCACCGCTCAGTCAGAAGGTTGCAGGTTTGCTTCCTGGCCTGGAGCGTGTTATGTATAGAGTTTACATGTTTTCTCCATGTATGTTCATTTGTAATGAAATTGTCCCTGAGTGTGAGTGAATGTTTGAGTAAATGTTTCTTGTTCGTCTGTGTGATGGACTTCTGACCTGTCCAGTTTGTTTTCTGTCTCTAAGATCAATTAATTGAGATAGCCACTAGCTTTTCCACAACYTATAAAGAAAAAGCCTATAAAAATCAATTTAAATGAATGAATACCTTCTAGTACCAACATTGTGATTTCAAAAGAGTTTTTAGCTTTTTGACTAAATATCAGGAATTTTAATGATATTGATATTTGTTGAAGATGAGTTATCAGATCGAATGCTTCTTGGGTTCATAGTTTAATTTTTTAAAGAATGCACTTTACACCAAGCTGAGATCTCTTTATTTGTTTATCTTTTTTTTTCTTTTTTGCTAAAAGACTGTGCCCTCCATTCATTAAGACTTCAAGTGCTTTGGTCCAGCCAGCCTCCTCTTTGAGACTGATGGTCAAGTCGGCCCTCATGCARTTCTGTTGGGTGTGCAGATGCATGGTATTAGGGTAGAAATACTTATAAGGTGCTTTCAGATTACAAAGCTGACTTCATGCAAAAGAGGAATGTGAACAGTTTTGATAGTCATTTTTATACCCGTTTGTTCACGTGCTTACAAGGCTGATTTCACCTGAAACTCCTCAGACTGMAGAAGTCTCTTGGAGGAGAGATGAAACATTTCATTAAAAAGAACCTGTCCAGAGGATCTGTGTAATTTTTTGAAAATACGTTATTTTATTTTAATATTTAGTTAAATGTACCTATAGTTATTGCCATTGCTCATTTTAGACAAYATTTCTAGATTACGTTAAGATGTATTACTTGTTGGTATTAATGTTATTTGTAGATATTCAAATTTTATTTATCAAAATAGTCCCTTTGCTGATATTCTGTTAGAACCATTGTCTTTGGAGGACATGAATCCTCCCTATCAACAGCCTGTGACTACTCTCTCCAGTCCTCATCAACATGGTCCCAGATGTCCATTATAATCCACTAATTGTAACAGCTGAAAACCATAAAGAACTTGGTAGCTAATAAGCCAAATGTGTTTTGAAATGGGCAGAAACATAAAAAGTAAAAAAATAAAAATGAACTACACTGAGCAAACAGAATGTCAAACGTGATAAATGTCAAAATAATTAATTAGACCTGCTTATGTGAGTAAAAAGAGTAGATTTACCAAAACCTTTTAGGTTTGTTACATATGAAAGTTTGAATGTTGTAAAATAATTTACTTTTTTCTGTTTAAATTTTCAGTTGAGTTGAAGTGGACTGCAAGACTTGGTGAAGAGCAGTAATCGATCAAGCTTCACTCACCTGTCTTTAGCGCTTCCTTTGACTTAGCCTCCCTTACCCCACAGCTTTCCAGGGAATTATGACTCTTCTCACCCCTTGCCTTCTTCGTTTCCTCACTCACACCATTATTTCCCTCATACCTCTTTTACCCTTGGTGTTTGGTGCACGAGTTTGTCCACATCRATGCACCTGCTATGATCACGCTGACATGGTGGACTGTCGGGATCAGAGATTTGAGCGTGTTCCCAGAGGGCTTCCACACGGCACATGGCTGCTGGAGCTCGGTGGAAACAATCTAAGTGTTATACGCACCAACACCTTTTCTGGGCTGTGGTCCCTGCGAGTTCTGGTGCTGACCAACAGTCAGATTGAAGAAATACAACCACATGTAAGAACCAACGGTTGAAATATCTAAATTTTGGAAAACTCAWATTCTCCAAACACTGTAAGAGTCTGAACAGGTTGGAGCTAAGGTCAWAACTGAGGTCCTGACAGGGCTTAGAGTGGTGGATGAAGTTTAATCCCTGAAAAAAGCTGTTCATTGAAAAGATAAAAAAACCACACCTTGCCTAGGATGAACTGTGTGTGAATGAAGAAAAGGTACAATGATTTTCAACTCTCAAACCCACTGGTTGTTTGCAACAAACTTTCTTTCTATTTATTAATTTAATTTAATGGCAGCAGTACAACTCAAAAATGACTGGACAGAAAGACGTGTTTGTAAAGTGTCTCCTCTTGTTTTAACATCAATCTGTAATTGTCCAGGACCTGAGAAGACGAGTTCTGGAGGTTTTAGAGGGAAGATTGTCTCATTCTGGTCTCRTGGAGTTCCAGATGAGTGAGCTGCTTATGCCAATAGGCATTAATGTACCCCTATATYATCAGAGAGGCAGGCTTTTCAACTGTGCTCTGAGTAATTTATTACAGAAGATGCAGCGTCTGATCTGTCTGACCACAGAGCAGTTCTCCTCTCTGTATCAGTCCTTTTGAAATTAGATTTGGTTCGGAGAAGACAGCAGGGCTTTAAGCAGCATCAGTGGGTGATGTTCACACATGACTTTTCTTTGTGTGATAGAGCTTTAAGCAGCATTAGTGGATGGTACAGTGACGTGTGTTTACAGACAGTGATGTGTGAAAGTGTTCCTGGGTTCATACAGTGATGTCCAGAATAGAACCTGTTAATAATGCAGTGGTCTCTGAGGGTTTGAAGATCACGAGCATCTAATGCTGACTTTCAGCTTTGAGGAACATTAATCTGAAACTGTTGCTCTGTTTTTAACTTGTTTTTTTTTTCAGACTGGTGAACATACTGTATGACTATTTTTATTATTGAGATATTCAGCCTCTCTAAACTTCTTTTTGGACCCAGTCTTCTTACTGATCTGTTGCAAAACACTTTTTCAATAGTTTTTATTTGAACCACTTATTTTTTATAGCCTTGATGCTGCCTCTGCCCTGTCTTTGAGATGTGTTGCTGCCAACAAATTTACCTTTTTGTTTCCAAACATGGTAATAGTTTTAACATTTGATATGAACGTGTTCCTAGGGAATAAAATATTTCATGAGATATGCAAATTATTGCATCCTTTTTTATTTTCATTTTGCACAATGTCAACATTTTTGGAACTGAATTTGGAGATAAAAGCAGTTAAAATGTTAAAATGAAGGAGTTATTGGAGAGAAAAGTGGATGTCACATTATTTTGTGTATAAAGTAGACCAATAATAATTTGAGAACTGTCCTTCTAACATTTCTAACAAGGACAATTTAAAACTTAGAATCAGGTGTTCACAATGAAAACGAAGAGAAGCCTGTCTCATTTCAAGCCGAAGGATAAGTCAGTTCTTCTTGTATTACAGGCGTTTTTCTCTTTGTCTTTCCTGGAGAAGTTGGATCTAAGTTGGAACCTGATAAAAAGCCTACCTGGGGACTTCTCAGCCAGTCTGTCTGCTCTCAAATGTCTGCGGCTGGAGCACAACAACCTACGTTACATAACTGCATTCAGGTATCCATAAACATGTGGATTACTGTAACTAAATTTTGTCTCTCTTTTTTCTTTTTGGTGCCACATTTTTAGTCTGATTTTGTCCACCTAAACATTCCTCAATTTTGTCAGGAGCAACTCCGTGGCCTCCTTGCACTGGATGATGTCATGTAAATAAAAATAAACAAACAAAAAACAACGTAGATGGTCTTTGCAGAGTCTTGATGAGGTCTTCGGTCATGCATTAAAGGGATCCACGATTAGTTGTAACATTAAACTTTATTTGATAAACATTTATTT